GTGAGCAGGGCTCCAGAGAGCAGGGCTCCATGGGAGCAGGGCTCCATATCAGCAGGGCCCAATGTGAGCAGGGCTCCATGTGAGCAGGGCTCCATATGAGCAGGGCTCCATGTGAGCAGGGCCCAATGTGAGCAGGGCTTGATATGAGCAGGGCTCCAGAGAGCAGGGCTCCAGAGAGCAGGGCTCCATGTGAGCAGGGCTCCATGTGAGCAAGGCTCCATGTGAGCAGGGCTCCATGTGAGCAGGGCTCCATGTGAGCAGGGCTCCAGTGAGCAGGGCCCCATGTGAGCAGGGCTCCACGTGAGCAGGGCTCCACGTGAGCAGGGCTCCAGAGAGCAGGGCTCCACGTGAGCAGGGCTCCACGTGAGCAGGGCTCCACGTGAGCAGGGCTCCACGTGAGCAGGGCTCCAGAGAGCAGGGCTCCACGTGAGCAGGGCTCCACGTGAGCAGGGCCCCACGTGAGCAGGGCCCAATGTGAGCAGGGCTCCATATGAGCAGGGCTCCATGTGAGCAGGGCTCCACATGAGCAGGGCTCCACGTGAGCAGGGCTCCATATGAGCAGGGCCCAATGTGAGCAGGGCTCCATATGAGCAGGGCTCCAGAGAGCAGGGCTCCATGTGAGCAGGGCTCCATGTGAGCAGGGCTCCAGAGAGCAGGGCTCCATGTGAGCAGGGCTCCAGAGAGCAGGGCTCCAGAGAGCAGGGCTCCACGTGAGCAGTGCCCCACGTGAGCAGGGCTCCAGTGAGCAGGGCTCCAGAGAGCAGGGCTCCAGTGAGCAGGGCTCCAGAGAGCAGGGCTCCATGTGAGCAGGGCTCCATGTGAGCAGGGCTCCAGGAGCAGGGCTCGAGGGCTCCAGTGAGCAGGGCTCCAGTGAGCAGGGCTCCAGAGAGCAGGGCTCCAGGTGAGCAGGGCTCCAGAGAGCAGGGCTCCATGTGAGCAGGGCTCCAGTGAGCAGGGCTCCATGTGAGCAGGGCTCCAGGTGAGCAGGGCTCCATGTGAGCAGGGCTCCACGTGAGCAGGGCTCCACATGAGCAGGGCCCCATATGAGCAGGGCTCCATGTGAGCAGGGCCCATGTGAGAGCAGGGCTCCAGGAGCAGGGCTCCAGTGAGCAGGGCTCCAGTGAGCAGGGCTCCAGTGAGCAGGGCTCCATGTGAGCAGGGCTCCAGGTGAGCAGGGCTCCACATGAGCAGGGTGTAAGGGCACTGAGCAGATTGTCTGAACCTAAGTACATGTTTGAGGTGCTTTACCGAGTATTTTCATTTGATTCGCCTGAACATACGCTGCATCTAATAGGAAGGTCTTTTATGTATATATTTTATTTTATTTGTCATATGCACAACTCAATCTGAGGCTCAAGATGCTGAAGACATCAAATAGTGCCACAGACATAACAGTCGGAAAAAGAAACATACAGGAATAAAACAAGGAAAGATACTCAATTTCAGGAGAGACTGGGGTGTGTGTGTGTGGTGTGTGTGGGTGTGTGTGTGTGTGTGTGTGTGTGTGTGTGTTCCTGCTCTCTAACAGCCTTCAACGAGAGCGCATTTGTATTTCTGTTTCTGATAGTTTTATAAAACACACACACACTCCATGTTCCCGCGGGCCTCTCTTGGCTCCCGTAATTCCTCTTGTCCGCACCACAAAGCGTCAGAAAAACGAGGCGCCGCCATTACGCCCGTCGTGTTCGTCCTCCGGGAACCACCATCATCTTCATCATCTTCATCCTCATCCTCATCCTCATCGCCTCTGAAGCGACAACACGGCGAGTCGCTCCTCTTCGTCGTGTTGCAGTTGGCAGAAACGCCGCTTGTTAATTATGGTTTCAGTGCCAAGCATACAATCACACGGTAATTGGAGTTGGAGCAGAGGATTGTGGGAGTGAAGAGAATGATAATGACTGTCTCATCTTCATCTTCATCATCATCATCATCATCGGTTTGTATAATCATAGTATCACTAAGAGCAGGAACAACCTGCACACAGACATTTATATTCATACCATGATACAAAGATACAAAGATACCGAATGCAGAAAAATCTAAAAACGTTGGAGCAGAGGATTGTGGAGTGAAGAGAATGATAATGACTGTCATCCTCATCCTCTCATCCTCATCATCATCTTCATCCTCCTCATCATTATCTTCATCTTCATCCTCCTCCTCATCATCACGACCTGTTTCAGGAAGGAGATGAAAGTTGGCAAAGAGACGAGAAAACACCTTTATTTTAAACTTGTCTCGTTTTATTGAGCTTTTCTATTCTCTTGTCTTTTTCATGACTCTTAAATGTAATTTAATAAATGTTCTTAAGTTTAAATGTTATTAATGTCTAAAAAAAGACGAAGAAAGATGAACGAAACAACTTCAAACCTTTTTTTGACGCTGCCTTCTATAAATAAAACAATTACATGATATTTTACTCTGCACACAGACATGTATAAATACCACTTAGTCTCCCTCAGGGATTAGGGAGTTGAACCGCTCCTCCTTCGCGTCGAAAGGAGACAGATGAGGTGGTTCGGGCACCTAGTAAGGATGCCACCTGGTAAGGATGCCGCCTAGTAAGGATGCAACCTAGTAAGGATGCAACCTAGTAAGGATGCAACCTAGTAAGGATGCCACCTGGTAAGGATGCCACCTGGGCGCCTCCCGAGGGAGGTGTTCCAGGCACGTCCAGCTGGCAGGAGACCAAGGGGTAGACATAGGACCAGGTGGAGGGATTATATCTCTACCTAGGACCAGGTGGAGGGATTATATCTCTACCCAGGACCAGGTGGAGGGATTATATCTCTACCTAGGACCAGGTGGAGGGATTATATCTCTACCCAGGACCAGGTGGAGGGATATATCTCTACAGACCAGGTGGGGCCAGGTGGAGGGATATATCTCTACCTAGGACCAGGTGGAGGGATTATATCTCTACCCAGGACCAGGAGGATTATATCTCTACCAGGACCAGGTGGAGGGATTATATCTCTACCCAGGACCAGGTGGAGGGATTATATCTCTTCCCAGCACCAGGTGGAGGGATTATATCTCTACCTAGGACCAGGTGGAGGGATTATATCTCTACCCAGGACCAGGTGGAGGGATTATATCTCTACCTAGGACCAGGTGGAGGGATTATATCTCTACCCAGGACCAGGTGGAGGGATTATATATCTTCGTCAGAGCTGGTTGATGTGGCCGGGGAAAGGTACATTGGGGCTCTCTGCTGGAACTGCTACCTCCGCGACCCGACCACGGATAAGCGGGAGAAGATGGATGGAAATAATAAATTCATTCTTTCAAATGTGTTCTTTACTGACTTCAAATGTGTTTCTTTGCTGTAAACAACTGTGATTATTCCTGAACTGCACTCATGTACTTATTAAAGGGGGTCATCACTGAAGTACAGAGGAGAGCCTTTAGACTGGTCACTCTTCAGAGACAGACAGCTGGAGAATGGAGACTCTGCTCTCCGTCTGTGGAAACAACAAATGTTTACACACATCATGAGTTCATTCAAAGAGCAGCGTATCTGTTTAACCAATGAAATATATTTAGACTTGTTCTGAGCTTTGTTTTTTTAGTTCGTGTTTGTGGGATTCTGTCGTTACAATTCATTTGTGAACGTTTTACATGTTTGTATTTTATTGCCTTAACCCAACACAAAGTCCATCACGTGGGGTTAGAGGACGATTTCCCCAGTAAATGATTTACTATTGCTGATGATGCCAAAGAGCAAGAGTTCAATTAAGCTACTCCACTGTACTCTAAGATAGACTGTGTATATAAAGTTATTACATTACATGCCATTTGTTAGAGGCTTTTATCCAAAGCGACTCCACAGTACTGTGGGCAATCCTTTCCCAGGGACACCACGACATGCTGACTGCAGGGGGACTCAAACTTGCTACCCCCTGATTCAAAGTCCAGCCCTCTATCCACTGAGCCACAGCCGCCTTATAAAGTAAAGTTTATAGTAGAAACGGACTCTTACTCTGTGTCCGAGGGTCCAGGATCGTTAACGAAGTCTGGAAGTGTTCTTTAGACCGCTCACTCTTCAGAGACAGACATCTGTCCTCTTCCTCATCTTTTAAACCACTCATCTTCTCCATCTGAGAGATAAACCAGTAACACTGGAGACACACTTATATCGATGATTTTGTTTCCTACATAGAGTACAAGAGTAAATAATGAATGTGGTTAAAAGCAGAGCCTGGTGTTAACACTCACCCGTTGTCCTCCTCCTCTCTGCCCAGGTGTAAGATGGCGTCTGGCAGTCTGACTTCATACGTTCACTTTAACGCCCTCACCTGTCTGAAGCTCCTCCTCTTGTTTCATAACCAGCCTGATCAGAGGAAGGTGAGCACACAGGGATTATATTCAGTAAAATAGAAATAGACATTCGGCAAGTGAACATCCTGCATTACAAACTCAGTAAAAAGGCTTTACTTCTGAACCCTGACAACTCTCAAACTCTTATCAGATCTCCACTATCACTTCCACAAGATGGCGGAGAGACTGGTTGTGTGATTGAGAGGCTCTCCCAGGTCGGGCAAATTATCCCCTAAATGCAAATAACTCAACGTTTAAAGTAAGGAATGAGTGGGGACACGGAGGAACAGTAAAAATCGTAAAGGACCAGGCAAAGTGGAAAATCAACCTACAATGGAAACCCCCGAGCACGAGGCTAGCGACACGAGCAGCGACGCGGCCGATGCACTGCGGGCAGGCTTTGCCGACATTAGCAAAGAAATGAAAGACCTTAAACTCGAACTACGACAACAACTACATTCAAACACGAAATAAAGAAGGAGCTGAGGGAGGACATCACTTTTCTGCGACAAGAACTCGACCGTAAACTTACGGAGAACAAGCGATTGATGCAATGAAAATGGACTGATCTCGAGGAGAAACAACATCCGAGTGTTTTGCTTACCCGAGGGCACGGAGGGGAGCTCCACAGCCGAATACATGAGAATAAAAGAGATGGTTTAAAGAAGGCTTGGCAGAAAGAGATACGCGCAGGGGGCAAACAAATACACAAAAATACAGATCCACTGGAACACAGGAGTGAAGACCTATGATAATGCCAGGGAAGCCGCGCAGGCCATGAAGGAAAGAGGACACACGGCGGACGTGCCCGGTGAGGATACGGAACCGGCGTGGCAGCGAGGACCCGCGGAGTGGAAACGAGCGGGGGCAGAGGGCGCGGCCCGAATCCGGCACAGCTGACCCGCAAGAGAAAAGCTGCAAAGTTATCAGTGGAAGTCCTAAAAAGTTTTACTGGAAGAAGGGCGAAAATCACGGATCACGAATCAGGTGAGCTGCGAAACATTACGGATGTCTCAAGGGAGACTTTTTCTGATTCGCTGAACTAAAGACCTGAGATAACATTAAAAGTCCTGAATGGAATGTGTAGGATTACATAGTTATATACAGGTTTCTTAAAATCACTAAAAATTAATAGACAACGACTGGGAGAGGTCGAGTGTTTTGAGTTGGACATGTCTAGACATTATGGAACCTCACAACGGAGGTACAGGTCTAGGGAGGGGCCCCCGTCAACGATGAGGACTCCCCCTCCACCCTCCAACGGGGTTTGGGGAATGGACTATTTCCCCATGTTTGGAGGTCTTCTCTTTTTTGGGTTCAGTTGTGTGATGATGTTTCATTTGTTTTTTATGTTTTTATTAGTGTCAGAAGGATAAAGGTAACCTCAAAGAAGGGTCAAGATGATATTTAAAGATCTGAAAATGATGTGGCTTAAAGTGAACGGGTTAAACAATCCAGTAAAAAGGGCGAAGCTTATAGCTAAACTAAAAAAGGAAAAAACAGGTTAACTACCGACAAGAAACACATCTTACAGAGCAAGAGCATGAAACACTTAAAAAGATGGGATTTAAAAATACATTTTACAGTTCATATAAAGGTGGTAGTAGGCGAGGAGTATCCATTCTACTATCAAATACAACAAAGTTTGAGCTTCTTAAGGAAATACGAGATAAAGAAGGGAGATATATACTTGTGAAGGGGAAAATAGAAGACGAATTGACCACATTAGTTAATGTCTACGCCCCTCCTGAAAGCAAAAAAGATTTTTACAGGAATCTATTTGAGCTTATAGCCCAGGAATCGGAAGGTATATTAATATTTGGGGGGATTTTAACATTACAATGAATCACAACTTGGATTCAACTAGCTCTAGGAAAAGTAGTAAAACAAAATTGTCCAAATATATACGTACTGCATTGGCAGAATTGGGAATAGTAGACATTTGGAGAGAACTACATCCACTCGAAAAGGATTACACTTTCTACTCAGCTCCCCATTTAGTCTATACAAGAATAGATTACTTTTTCATTAATGCAGGGGACCGATTCAGAGCAAAGGAATGCAGAATAGGAGTTGCAGATTTATCAGACCACAGCACTTTATACCTGACGTTGAACTTAAATAAGCAGACAAGACAGACAAATTGGCGACTTAATGTTGGTATCTTGAACGATCCAGAATTTGTTGAGGGGGTCAAAAAGCAAATTAACAAAGAAGAAAATGATAATGGGGAGGTCGGCCCAACCATCGTCTGGGATGCTTTAAAAGCAGTCATGCGTGGGGAGCTAATTTCAAGAACGGTATACCTGAATAAAATGAGGCTCAAATTATACCAAAATAAGATTGGAGAATTGAGAACTTTAGAGCAGCAACATAAAAACTCTAATGACCCAGAACTACTTAATCAAATTAAAGAAATAAGGAAAACAATTAATGAGATATTAGAGAATGAGGTAGAAATGAAATAAGATTTGTGAAACAAACGTATTACGAGGCCGGACCCAGAGCATCAAAACTGTTAGCCAGACGAATACGGAAAAAACAGCAGCAGAATGCAATCCACTAAATCAGGGACCCCGAGACTAACACATTGGAATCTGAACCAGACAAGACAGAAAAGATATTCGAAAACTACTACAAAAAACTATACTCACAGCCAGCTGCAGCAGGGGAGGAAACAATTCAAACATGTTTCGACTCTCTAGACCTGCCGAGAGGGAGAGTACAACATAAGATCATGAATTCAGATATCACAGGAAAAGAACTGGAGGAGGCAATTAATCATTTAAAAACTAATAAGGCACCAGGAAGTGACGGGTCCCCCTCCGAATGGAACAAAATGTGTAAAAAGGAACTTATTCCGTTGTTAGTAGCATCATTCAACGAAACTATAAAGAAGGGGATAATCCCCCCCTCGTGGAAAGAGGCCATAATCACTGTTATCCCTAAAGAGGGAAGGGACAAAGAATTCTGCGAAAATTATAGGCCAATATCAATACTGAATTGTGATAAGATCTTCACAAGAATAATCTCTAAGAGAATCGAGAATTTCACGACAGAACTGATAGAATAAGATCAATCAGGATTTATCAAGGACGTCAAACACATGGTAATATAAGAAGAACATTACATGTAATTCAAGAAGTAAAGAGAAAGGGGGAGAGTGCATTACTCTGGATGCAGAAAAAGCATTTGACAGCGTTAGCTGGAAGTTTCTCTATCCCTGTCTAGAAGCATTTGGCTTTAGTAAAGAATCGATCAACTGCATTAAATCACTTTATCAAGATCCTATGGCAAGAATACAATAAATGGCAACCTTTGCCTAGCTCAAGCAATTAGACAAGATGAGGATAGAGGGGGAGTGATTAAAGGCACAGAACACAAAAAGGACATGCTGCGACATAAGCACAAGGGCTCCATGTGAGCAGGGCTCCATGTGAGCAGGGCTCCAGAGAGCAGGGCTCCAGAGAGCACGGCTCCAGAGAGCAGGGCTCCATGTGAGCAGGGCTCCATGTGAGCAGGGCTCCAGAGAGCAGGGCTCCACGTGAGCAGGGCTC